TTGACATGGCGGCGTTTCACGAAAGATCAATTGTCTGTCCGGCTTTGCATCAGAACCAACCAGTAGAATGACTAGTAGCGTCATACCAGTTGGCGGAGTAGTCTACCTATTCACCGACAGTTATAGCAGTAAATGTTATTTTGCTCGTGTTCAAATCCTCGGGCAGCGGAAAAAAAATATATGTAGGTATTTTTTACGCATACAGTCAGCGGCAAAAATATGCATACCCTGACGTCTTGACGATTTTATTTATTTACATTTGCCATACCAAATTTTTTTTGTTTTTTTATAAAAATATACTATAGTTCATTAAACAGGAAAAACCACAATATTAAATTTCAAGAAATACCAAAATATGTTCATCGAAATTTTCAAAGCTACTAAAATTTTTTCTAGTTAGTATGCAGTTTTGTAGCCCATTCGATTTTAGTATAATAAAGTGCACGTTTCAAGTCGCCAAAAAATTACGTTGATTTTGGATAATTTCAATTTTTTTTTTTACGAGGATATTACGTTTCTTCTTCCATATAACTCATGAACATAATCTTTTTTCACATGAAATAAGGTGCGCAACACCCTTAGCGAAAAAAATCGAATAGAAAAAATTTCGGTTAAAACTTCCTTAATTTTCCCGAGTTTTGCATAAAAAAAGATTCTTGTGGTTTTTGCTGTTGATTGAACTAAGTTTTTATAAAAAAAAGAAAAATTTGCTATGGAAAATGTAAGTAAATAAAATCGTCAAGACGTCAGGGTATGCATATTTTTGACGCTGACTGTATATTATTTCTTTGTTTTTTTTATATTAATTAATTTATTTATTTTCATTAGTTTTAAGATCGAAGACCCATTTGCGCTACCGGTTTGGCTCGATGCCCACAATGCTCCCAGAAAACATACCAATACTGCTAACGGCCAAAGTATTTGCCCAGTGATTTTTTCACAACATATGCAACCGTTTTTATTTTAATTTTTTTCCTCTAGTTTTTTTTTATAAATATATGGTTAATACTACAACAAAAATAAAACATAAAAATTAAATTTCTAAACTTTATGCAAAACTCAGGAAAATTCAATAAATTTGCATGCAAATTTGCAACTTTTTGTTCAGGTTTTTTAGAATTGTGTCCAGGTTTTTAAGAAGTGTGCAGTTTTTAGCCTATTAAATTTTAGTGCAAGTTTGAAGTTGGACTTACCGTTGATTTTTGGCAATTTTTTCCAAAAAAAAGTCTCAAAACTCAACGCGATTTTTTTATAAACTTCAAACTTGCATTTTTACAACAAAATTTTAAGGGCTGCAAAACTGCATTCTCAAAAAAATTCTTAAAAATCTGATTAAAAATTTGAAATTTTGCTAGATATTTATTGAATTTTCCTTAGAGTTGCACAATGTTTAGAAATTGTGTTTTTATAAAAGACTTTCGGAAAAAAAATAAAAATAAACAATGTTGCATATGTCGTGTAAAATCCTCTGGGCAAATACTTTTGGCCGTGAGTGTACATCTACATAGTACCCGTATCTACTCAGCACAAATAGCGATATTTCGCAGTTAGTGGTTTGCCCTCTTATTTGTATTGTAAATCAGCAATTAAAATGCTGTATAATTGCCGCTTTGAATTTACATTAAATAACTGACTAATTACACAGATAATTTATGTACATAAGTATGTGTACACCGAGAGTAGGCTGACTATTAGACTGGGCAATGCTAATATGTCAGTGTGCTTCTACTTCGTTGAGCCTAACAACAACAACAACAACAACAACCGCATTTGTTGGATTTAATTATTTTTATTCGCTTTTTGCTTTTTTGCCACTATCTCATGTCTACCTCCCTTCAGTTTTTTTGCGTGGTCTTTATGCACTGCCCTGACACTTGTCTGGACTACATAGTTGGTTGGTGGTTGTCTTATTTGTCTGAGTGAGCTCCTTTGTTCAGTTACACGCCTACCGCCTTTGGCTGCCTTCAAAAACATACAAAAAAAAGTTACCTTACACACGCCAACTACCTTACTAACTACTGTTTGACATTCCACAGAGCGGCAGCTGCAGCTACAGCAAGAACGACACAACACCAACAACAACATATAGCAACTACAACACAGCTTCAATAAGCTTCTTTGATTTGACTTGACTTCACTTGGCTTGGCTTGGCTTGGCTTGGCTTGGTTTTGGGTAGTTGCCATAATAACGCTTGATATGGTGGTCAAGTTATGCGCTCGGGCCCCAAATGACTACTCGCTGGCTAGATGGCAAGCTGAGTGAATGAATGAGTGAGTGTGTGAGCAATCAGAGAGTCGGTCGGCAGCAGCTAGTTACATAGCTTTGCCGAACCACCAACAGTCAGTCAGTCAATTGGTTAGTTACTAAACTTAGTTGGTCGCTTGCTTGGCTAGATGTAGGAAAAATCGCGTACAGTTTGTCAAGATGCAAAAAACGGCCGCAACCAGTAGCTGACTGACTGGTGAAAAAATAAAAAAAAAATATATGGAATGCTTTAACTCTACTGTTGGCACTGATGTTGTGGCTGCTCCTATACACATCTTTTGATCGGCTGTGGCTTGTGGTGCTTGTTGCCTGGCTGACGTTGATTGTCCAAGTAGCAACACGTTTCCAGTTCAGCGAGCACCCCACCCGCTCGCGTTGCTTGCAGCCAGCGCCTCTTCTTAGCGCTGCCTTAGTCATCAGCACTTTCATTTCCTTTCCTTGCAATTATTTTCAGCTTGTTTGCAGCAGCTCCTTTTCATGCTTGCTCTGGTCGATGGTGGGGAGGGAAGGTGCGCTGACATCAAATTAAACTTACCTTCGCCGTAGTACATTGACTCATAAGGGGATACATGCGCTCCGTATGTAAGTATGCATGTACCGGAAAAATTGAATGAGCAGTCAGAGGCTCACCTCTTCTAATACCGCCGCTCTCATACTGCCTTTAGGTTATCTTGCCACTGGTTTCTAACAGCAGCCATTACCAGTATCTATCTACTTTTAATTTCTTCCTCCGCATGCCTCAAGTTTCGATACTAATTTGCCGCACACAGCCGAGATTGCACTCTCTTATGCCGCTTTAGTACACTTGAAAAGAAAAGTAGTCGTACCTTTTGCATTGCTGTTAAGTTGTGTGGGCAATTCTGTTACCTACACAAATAGGAGCTTGACTTCAAAGTTTTGACTAGAAAAAACTGCTACCTTACGCCTCGAGATCGTTGCTTTACCACTTCGAAATTTTACGAAGACCTTCGAAATAGTCATTACTAGCCTTGGACGTTTTTTTTTTTGCCACTGCAAAGACAACCCCCCTTGTGGTGAACCAAATTTTGTCACTGGTAATAATTTGCTTCATAAATTCATCTCTATTCTCGCTACCCATATCAAAAACCCTCGACGTGTCGATGCTTCTGAAGTTGGTTAAGTATTCTCGGCACCCATCTTGCGCTGAGCTTAGATTGTGCTTGAAACGGTCTGAGATGATACCTCAACCATTTCTGCGATTTGTACATCTTCTAGAACTACTTCTTTGCTTTAATTGGCTGCCCTGAGCGCTCATCCTATTTAATCGACTCTCAACATACTTGAATAATGCGCCTACTAAACTCCTCTTCGACTTCGATTGGTACTGAGCCACAAGCCCTCGGTAAATAACAGCACTGAATCTCCCTGCTCGTGTTCAATCGCTATTTTAGAGAAAGCGGTAGGCAGACCACGCTCGCAGACAAAAGCAGACTAACCTCTGCTATGCAAGCTCGATCTGAGAGTGATAATTTCTGGGCATCATCAGGCTCATCTGAAACATATATTTCCACAGCAAGCCTTTTTGCAATTGGAGGCTGGCCGGTGTCTATAATCCGCATCCTTCGGCATATGCTGTTTCGCCTTGTCGTTGGTGTTATGGGAAAGAGAGGCAACTCAGAAGACTAATCCTAAAAATTTCGGAAGGCCAGTGTCGAAACCCTCAACCTGATTGATCTGTAATAAAATTTTCTTGTCCAAAGGCATGACCGTAGCTATAGCCTGCCGTAACGTGGAGTGTGAAGCTGAATATTCGGCAGTCCAAGCGAACAAAATAATTCTATTAAAAACTTCTACTAAATTTTGTTTCCACTAGGGTCGGGAATTTCGATATCACGGCAAGTTTTATTTTAAACTCGAGGTCGATCGGTATGCAGGGTCCTCATGGCAGCGCATTCTTTGGCATTTGCTGTTTCAACTTCTCTCAAAAAACAGTCCAAACCCAATTGGTCTCCAATGTCGGCTTCTCCTTTCCGAGAGCTTTCCTTCCAACTACCACTAGTCAGTGCTATAGTCAAAGAAATGGCACTTTTTCAACCGAATGTGGAGGATGTAGCCTCACTCTGGTACTCCAGAGTAGTGACCACCCACCATCCGCACACATGTCGACTGACAGTTCAGCTCTTCCATAATGGACTGCGTTAATTTTTTCGTGTATTCGTATGAAAAAAGTACAAATATTCGTACATCCATTCTGTCCATGCTTGAATGATGGAAACGAATTTGTGCTATGTATTTCTGCAAACCGCTCCCTCACGTTAGCATAATTGCTTCTAGAAATTTCTATTAAGTTGTTGAACTCCTTCTAACGCTATTGCCTACAACCACTTCTTGATAGCCTCACTCCCTCCCACCTTCATCGTTTCGTGCCGTTGTTGAGCTCTCCAGCACGCATTTGCTCATGCTACTTCATCCCAATCCCCATGCCAATCGTTATATCATCTTATTCCTCCGCTCGTTTAGCTCATCGTACTCTTATCCTACATTTCGCGTCGTGTTTTCAATCACTCCCAACACCAAACCAGCAACGGCAATTATGCCCGTCAAAATGTCGACAGCTTCAATATAAAACAACTCAGCGCATACACAAACTAATAAATATACTCGTACATACATACAGATTTGAAGATTTTCTCGTTCACCTTTTTTGCCACCTTTCTCTGCTTCATGTTCGTTTTCTAATAAGTGCTTTTCTTCAACCTCTATTTCTTTGCAGATAAATAAAAGCAGTTTAAATCCGAAATCCGGTAAGAAAAGTGGCAACAATCAACTGCTCAAAAGAAATCAATCGTCTCGAAAAAATTACACGAAAGCGCAATAAACGCTCAAACAAAAGATACCAAGTGATTAAATTGTGGTACAAAATGTGAAGCCAAAATAAAACAACAACAAAAATAGCAAAGAAAAAGAAACGCTAAAAAATGCAAAAGCGCAAGAGAGCGAAGTGAAAAGTTTTAAATAAGAGGTGAAAAAGAATCACATGTAATTAAACGACGCACAAGCAACGAAAAACGAAGACAGAGAGAGAGAGAGAGAGAGAAAGAGGGCGAGAAATACAAAGCCATCGTGTGAAAGGGTAAGAAATCGGTAACAAAATCCGTAAAAAGCAAAAGTAACACGCACAACCCAAACCCTGATCCCCAGTCCAGTGTCAGACCGTGAAGAAGACCCCAGTCTCTGTGTGCACAGTCCCAGTCCCGTGAGGGACCGCAGGCGACGCCACACGAGACGAACACGAAACGTAACGCGCACGGAGCAGCAGCTAAAAAAAAAGCAACCCACAAACAGGGGGAACGTTGTAATAAAAGAAAACCAACACAAAAAAAAAAAACAATTCGTTCGCCTCAGCCACAGCTTCGATTTTGAGCTGTCATAACGCCGATACGACTCAGACGCAAAGGAAAACAACATCGGCGGCGTGCAGGGCGCAATCAAACAACACATTGAAGCTAGGCAAATTCAAGCTGAAAGAAACTACAATAAGTACGCGGTCAACGCGCCTGCAGCAGCAGCAACAGCAAAAGCAGTGCAACAGTCAACACCACCAACAAATAAAAAATCCTCCGCCACGCATACAAAGCAGGCAAACAAGCAATCAATCTTGACGTTCGAGCAAGCTGAGTAGTGAGTAGAAACCACTTTTGAGTGCAAAAGCAATTGCGCTATTCGCTCACACCGTTTTTGGCTGCAGCTGCAACAACGGCAACGGCTATCAGGAAAATTGAAATTTTTCCTATGCGTTGCGGAGCGTAAAAAACAGGTATTATATGCAGCTAAACTCGATGTATAGAGAGAGAGAGAGAGAAGGAGAATAGTTAAGAATCATTATAACGTGTCAAAGCAGAAGAAAAGTGCATGCGATTGCTGCAGAGAGTGTGTGCATCTGGTATGAGAGAGCAATAGCGCGAAAGAGGCGAGAGCGCGCTGCGTGCAACGAGAGAGCGCAACATACTACAACTGGAACTGTTTTTGGTTGCGCTGCATTCGTATTTGTAACGACCACGGGTGGTGTGGGTACAGAGCAACTGTTGCAATTACAACAACTAAAAATAGTAACTAGTCTGGCTGGTTGCAGGCAAAAGGTGGTCACGCAAGACGTGTAACTAACTAACCAACGAAGAAACGAAAAAAGCGAACAAGCGGCCAGTCAGTCAACGAGGAAGTAGCGGCAAGACTACACTGGAAAGTTGAAAAGAACAAAAAGTACAAAATAAAGCCAGTAAAAAGGCAGCTGTCGACTGATACCGTGCACACAAGCACACGCGCGCGCGTTTGACAACATTTTACACCTTTTTTTCCTGTCATCAACGAAGTGCAAAATATACTGACGCTAAGCAGGCTGTCCTGCTGTATGTCCGAATGACCGATTGAGCGCGCGATATCCAAGCTAAAACACGACGTCAAGGCAATAGTTTCGGAAGCACGCGCACGCAAGGAATACGCGATAGTAGGGCGCGAAGAAAATTCGTATCCGCGCGGAGTGAACACAAATACGATTGAGTGAAGCGCAGGACCTCATACACTGTTCCAAGCACAGCGCGGCACGGTAATTTGCGTTTAGTTTTCAGTGACCATCGCCGTATTGTGCCGGGCGCATACCCAAATGCAAATTTCATACGAGTATTATTATGGGCCGTTCCAAGTTTCCCGGGAAACCGTCCAAGTCGATTAATCGTAAGCGTATCAGTGTATTAAAATTGGATGAAGAAGCGGCGGCGGAACCTGAGGATGATCTAACAGCGGCGAGTGTTGGCAGCGATAAACGCGACAACTGTGATGATGATGATGATGATGATGAAAAGGGCGATGGCAGTGGCACCGCAGGCGGTGATGGTGTAGGAGAAAGCGGTGAAGCGGGAGGCACAAGTGATGGCAGCGGTAGTGGTGGGGGCGTGCGCAATGTAAACAGTGGCAGTGGTGCAAGCGGTGACAACGAGATGGGGAGTGGTAATAACGCCAGCGGCAAGGGCGCAAGAGCGGTGGGGGATAGCGCTGCCAACAGCAGTAAACTTGCCAGTGGCGCGAAAAGTGCTGAAACTGCACAAAGAGCAGCAGTCAGCAACAGCACCAGTACCAGCAAATTCAAAAATAGGAGCAGCAGCAGGGGTAAAAGTAAGCACAAGGAGGCTGATAATACTGCTGCTGGCAGCCACGGCGATATGGATAAAATAGTCGAAGGCGAAGTTGCACTTGATGGCAGCAAAAAGCAAGCAAGTGGCGTAAGTGTAGTTGCGGATAAAGTGGATGACAAAGCGCGTGCAACGAGGCATATGACAGCAACTGCTGCTGTTGACCAAGGAAAAGTTGTTGATTGCGATAATGCAACGCATAGTGCACAAAAGCAGCCCGTTGATGTGGCTATGGAAGTTGAAGATGCTGAGGCTGAAGAGAATGAAGGAGATGAGTGTCATAATCCGCCGGGGAACGACCACTCAGTTGTTCTAGACGGTGAAGGTGCTTGTGATGATGTTGATGGCCATGACGACGAAGATGACGACGACAACGACGACGACGAGGACGAGGAGGACGAGGATGACAATGTTTCGTGTACTAGTCGCAAATCGGTGCAATCTGCTTGCTCAGCGACCTCTTCAAACGCCTCATCAATTGGCTCCGCCACCACAACAACAATAGCAACTGCAGGGCCAGGAGCTGGGTCAGTGGCAACAGCATTGGCATTTAGCCGTAGCAAACGTGATGGTAAATTTAAAAACTTGAATCTTGCCAAGCCTGAGGTGATGTTGCCATCATCGGCGAAATTAAGGCAACTGCAACAACAAAACCAACTTAATTGCCCTTCTCCACCACCAGCAACAGCAAGCGGCAACGGCAACTGCAACAATCACGGTGGTGCAACTAAATCGTCGACGACTACATCTTCGGCCACGGCCACAAACACTTCGCGCTTCTCGAATCCCTTCGCTGTCGATGGTACGCTTTGTGCGGCTGACACTGACGATGAGGCGTCGTCGTGTATCATGGCCGCTGATGAGGTAATAAATGGCAGTGTTGGCGTTGCGAACGTTCACCATGGCAATGGAGGTTGCGGGAGCGGTGGAGGTGGTGGTGGTGTTGCCGGTAGCGGTTGTGCTGACAATGATGGCGTTGCAATGGTAAGTGCTTTTGATTGCATTTCTTTCGCTTCTTTACATTGTCATTATTATTATTTTTTTTTTTAGTTTTTGTTTTATTTCTTCATTGTTTTTATTTTGCCTGTTATTTTTACTGCAGTGATGTGCTTGTGCGCGCCTTTAAGTTGTTGACTGCCTTTGTTGATTCTACTGAAGTATGTAGCTCCTTTTTGGCTATTGTTTTTCTTTCACTTGTTTTATTTTAAATTCCTGTGTAGGTAGCACTATACATATTATTACTTACTTTGCTTCTATACTTTTATTTTTATTTGTATATTTAAATATTTATATATATGTTTGTTGTTGCTTACGCCTTTGTTTGCGTTGCTGATGGCGTTGTCTTGTCCCGTATTTCTTGTTTCTCTTCTCCTTCTTTACACTGTTGATTGTGTGCTGAGCTTTTTGGTATTTAAAAGGATTGATTCATCTCATCGTCACAAATTGTGGTTTTGAATTGATTCCCTTTTTACGCTTCCCATTGTTTGTTTATACTTTCGACCGTTTCAGGCGCGAGGTGTGGCCCCATTAAACGAGCGCTTTTGTTTCTGCGAATGCAAAAAGTTGACATTTTAATGAGTACACTTACATCCGAGCTTTGCCGAACATTGGCAACGTTTTCTCAGAAGCCATTTGGTTATAAAAATATTAAATTTGTGTTGGTAAAATTGTTTTGTGTTTATTGAAAAGGCAGCCGTATTTAGCTTGATTTATGTTGGGATCAATGCTCTTGGTTAGGCCAAATAAGGACATATCTATGGGTGATACAGTTGTAGCACTATTTTAGTGACAACCGTCATAAAATCAGTTTAATTAACGCTCAAGGTACTAAGATATTGGGTAATCGAAAAAGTTCTAACGGATTTGGGTACCAAATTTAAATGAATCTTTTCTCATATTTTAAATGAACTTTTTAAACGAAGTTTGTCTCCATCGAAAGGTGGTGATATGAATTCGTCGGAATATTTTTTTTTTTTTGTGTGTATACCGGATAACTTGGCCCACGTGGACCGATTTCGATAATTCTTTTTGTTTATAGAAATGTGGTACCTCAGGGGTGGTCCCATAATAAATTGGTTAAGATCCGTTTTTGGATGATGAAAAAATTAACGGTACTCTTAAATTTTTATATGAGAACTGTGACCGGTTTTATTTTTTGCTTAAAATTACTTGTTTTTTTTCTGGTAAAACTATAGTTTCGGGCCCGATCTTGATAACCATCTATATATTAGTAGGCTAACATAAAATTGGTTTGGCGATTTTTCTAGACCGATTTCAAAGCCAAGAACACCATTGGAAAGGAATTTTACGGCCGAAAGCGTCGTTAAAAAATTTCCCTATCTATGTATAGTTGTTGTTGCAAGTTCAATTTGAGTTTTCAAATTTTCTTTCACTTCGTATTTGAAATGAGACTTTGTAAAGATGAAGAAAGAAATTATAAGAAACGATCAAGATTAAAAATTAAGGCAAAATAGAAGATAAAGACGAAAATGTAAACAATGAATTAGGTTAAGAAAATTTTTTTAATTTTTTGGAAAAAAAATATATATGTACATATATCCAGTCATCAAAAATTTATTTTTCGAAAATTATCCAGTCATAAAAATGTATCCGAGTCATCGAAGCTTATAGTTATTAAAATTTCTCGGGTTACCCATGTTTATAGAGTTATCGAAATTATCGTTACACAGAAACTTAGTTATCGAGTTATAAAAATTTTTGGAATTGTCGAATTATCGATATTTTTGGAGTTACATATTAATATTTGCGAACTCATAAGTATATGGAGTTCTTTCGACTTATCGGAGTTATCGATATTTATTGCTTTATCGAAATTTGTTGATAGTTATCGAAATTTGTTTTTGAATTTTCCAAGTATGTTAAACGATAGCCGTAAATAAAGAAGACACTTCAGCTTTCGTTAACAACAAGAACACAAATATATGAATTTATTCAGAGTTTAATGTAACAAAGTTTAATTGTAAAACGATTTCAATATTTCTTGACTCGTTGGCGTCTGTTCGCGTGTCGAGTAAAAGAAAAGGAAAACTAATGGCATACCATGCCAGGCTTTCCCTTACCTTATATATGTATGTGTGTTTATCATGTTGTCGAAATTTCTATGCCTGTTTATCGATTTTTCGAATTTTACCAAGTTACTAGGGTGTATTGAGCTATCGAAATTGGTCGATAGATATCGAAGTTTATGGAGCTATCGAACTTTATCGAGCGCTGAGAACGCACAGTTATCGAAATTTGTCCAGTTATCGATATGTAAATGTTTGAGTTATTGAAATTTGTCGAGTTTTTAAAATTCATAGAGATGATATCGATATGAATCGAAACATCAAATGCGAATTCTTTTAGAATTTCTTATAGAGGTTGTAGAGCATTTTCCTCTATATAAAATTAGGTATTGTTCATGTGTTATATGGAAGATAATTCGCAACACGCTCTACAAAAAAATCTCAAAAATCAACGGTAGTTCTTAGCTGCTTACTTTTCTATGTACTGAAATTTAATGAGCTACATACTCTAAAATTTTCTAAAACTCTGAAAGATAAAGTGTAAGTCTGACGTTGCTAAAGAATCGCGTTGATTTTGGCAATTTTTCACGCATCTTCCATAAAAATTATGTTCGATTTTTTTTTTTTTTGTATGGAAAATTTTCAAATATTTACCGTGAGGCAAAAAAAACTGCGCAAAGTTTGAAATATGAACTTATAAGGTTTTCGTTAGATAATGTGAATGAATAAGGGTTTCGTTAGATAATGAGATATAAAAAAAAAATTAATAAACATTAAACAAACAAAAGAGCCTGGTGAAAATATCGCACTCCAATTATTTGGTGCACAACTGTATGTTCCTATTTGTAAGCTTTTTCCTTTAATTTGGGCTTGAAATATAGTCATTTAGTAAGAGGTTACTACTGAAATAGGTGTAATTAAGGCATTTTAAAATGTGTATCATTCGCCGTGTTTTTTGGTGAGTAACCCCAACATTTTTCTGCCATGGACGTACCCCTCGTCGAATGATCTTACAGTTTTTTTCCTAGTTTCATACACGTGTAATACCCAGAAATGTAGGCTCTTTTTGATACATGACGTTTGTATTGTCTATAGAAATCGTCTTCAGACCGTCTATATAGATAGGCATTAAAATGAGGTGTGCACTGCAACCTATAGATTTATTGTGCCCTTCGAGCCTAAACTTCTCCCACGTCTTCTGCAGATGACACCAAACTCGATGAGAATATGAAGTAATGGATCACTTGCTCCCAGCTTGTACAGACGCCCTCTTGGCCTGCATTGTCCCGTAAGAATACCTGCTAGTGTTCTAAGTTTCTTCTTTTGAAGTTTAATTCAGTTTTGGAATGTTTTATTGTTGTACCTTCTCAGTAGACTCTTTGCCTGACGCAGATCCCTTAGCCCGTTCGTTTCATTTCTGAGCCCTACTTTAAAAGTGTTAAGAACCACTCCAAGGAATGCCTCTGGGTCAATTAGAGTTAGTAGTGCTAACTGGATGTTCAAAGACCGTCTAGTTTATATTTCCCTTTGAATGGTAGTTTTTTCTGGATTTACAAAGAGGCTGGCATATATTTTTTTTTACTTAGTAGATTTTTGCAGTAGGTTATCTTTTTCCAACCTTCGGAATAAAAGCTACCCTCTCCTCCACGCGTTTAGTATTTTGAACATCGGTCCAATGCGAGCTATATGCCCGGGAGTAGGCCATCAGCTCTACACGGCTAAATGGTTCTGAAGGGTTTATAACCCAACTTTTTTGGCGATTTCTCCTATATTTCCAACATGTTCTGTCCGTTCTGCGAGGTGGGTTTCGACGTTTGATCTTCTTTTCCTCACTCGCAGTAAAGTTCACTGTCTTCTTTACACTTGCACATGAAATGCTGGTGGTTTTTGTCATTACCTTGTTAATATTTTTAAAGAACAATTAAGACCTCCACCTGCTGTTATTAACGGACTTACATACATAGATCTTTTTCAAAATAAGTCCCAAAAAGACTAATAGACCAGGAGAAGGATTAAAAAATGTTCGCTGAATTTTACTGCTATTGTTGTTGTTGTTGTTGTTATTCGTCTTCCCCCACCTAACTTCTTCAACCTCAGACCTAGCCAGCAAGCTATCTCTGTGGGTTTTGTCCACAGCGCTTCGGGTGTCAGCATATACCCCTTATAGGTCAAGCGAATTGTGCGGTCCGTTTCTGTATGCTGGAGTGGTGTCTGCGATATCCGGGTATAATCTGGCTCTGGGCGAGTTTACCAGTCAGGTCGATGATTGGCGGCCGGCGACCGAGGATTATATATTCTCTGCATACTCACTCGGGTTGCAGTGATAACTGCTTTGCTATGATGGTTGTTAATGCTTTCCAAGAATGCCTTGCGGGCAGCGGTGTTCGAAGTTGATGGTCGCTCTCTGCATCTTAACGACTGAGGTGTCTCCCTATCGTGTCGTGGCGGCACAGCTCTCTATGTCAAACTGTCGGTAGGGTCGGTTGTTCTATGACGACCTGGCAGGAACTATTTTTGCAGCAGCGTGTTTTCGTCATTTACCTGAAGCATTGCTGTCACTGCAAAAAAAAAAATATTAATGCAATTCCCTTGGGGTTGTGAGTAAATACCACGCATGAATAATAACGGTTGGGTATTGTTTCGTTGAGGCCCTAACATACATACTTAGCTCATCCATTACAGATACCAATAGAGAAACTTCAATTATTTTCTTTTTTGTTGTGAATTTACAAACCCATCTCGTCTAAATGCCAATCACAATGTAATTTTAAAAGTTTCGCGTATAATGTAACAAGATTTAGATGAAATCGCTAGCGCGTATTGTCTGAGTGTGCAGGGCATGAGGGGAAATTGTAAAACTCCACTTAACTAAAGTGCCAGACCATTATTTGTATAATTAAATAAACATCAATAGAATTTAAAGACTCGACAAATGTTGAATGTATACATTTCAAATTTATTCAATAGCGATTATAAAGACTGGCTGTCAGTGTGGCCTTTGTAAGGAGACCCATTCCAAATTTGTCACGCATGCATCCTTTCATAAGGTACATATAATAAAATCGTGCTTTGTTTACTTTCATAAGTGCTCGTACATACATATGTATGTGTGTAATTCACCCTTCTTCCTCAAAAGCAACAACAACAACAACAACAATGGCAAAGCAAATGCTTCTGTATCCTTCCCCCATTTGCTGCTCAGCTTACGTGACTTAGCGTATTTTCTGTCTTCTTTTTTTCATATTTTTACGCCTTTGTTATACCTCCCTTTTCATCGCCTACTTGCGTGCTTGCTAATCAAATAATACTCTCTTTTTCAGAAAACCAACATGAAAACGAACGAAATGTCTTCAACCAGCCCCAGCAGTGGCAGCAACGGCCACCATAAGCCCAGTGATAGTACCACGGCTACAGCCGTCAACAGTATTGGTGGTGATTCGGCCACTTCAACAACGACAAGCGGCAAAGAAAGCAAAACATCCTTAACCTCAAGTTGTGCTGCGGTGACAACGGCTGTTGTGAGCAGCGCATCTTCCACTTCATCGTCCTCGTCGTCTTCGTCATCATCCTCATCATCGGGTGGTGGCAAGCAGAAAAAGACCGTCACATTCAAGAATATACTCGAGACGAGCGACGATAAGAGCGCTGTGAAGAAGTTCTACAATCCCGACAATCGCATACCGCTCGTATCCATCATGAAGAAAGAGTGCATGAATCGCCCGCTACTCTACTCGCGCAACAGCGAATGCATTGTACGGCCATCGAGGCTAACTGAGATACTCAAGAACAATTCAAATATCGACAAGCTAAATTCCTTAAAATTCCGCTCCAGCCACGCAACCGCCAGCACTGCAGCGACAACAGCTGTTGGCGGTGCTACTGCTATAGCTGCTGTTACACTCGGCGCAACGTCATCGACCGCAGCCGCAGCGGTTTTTGGTGGTTCGGGGCTCACTTGTGCATTTGGCGCGGCAGCTGCCTATGCTGAGGACCGCAAGCATGACACCGTGGCCTTTAGGCTAAGCGATACCACAGCGAACACACTGCATACTACAAACGGTTACTCAAGCGAAATAAATCCAAAAAAAGAGCATGGCACAGAGGTTGGTGATGCGGTAGAAGCAGGCAACGAGGCGCATGAGATGGAGGAGGATGAGCATGATGAAGACGTAGGCAGAAGCAAAGGCGCGGCGCTGGGTGAACAAGATGAGGACGATGACGAGGAGGAACAGCAAATTGTGGTTGACAAGCATTTTGTGTTGCCGAAGCGTAGCACACGCTCTTCACGTGTCATCAAACCGAACAAATGGCTGCTGGAAGATGGCATTATATGCAAGAAGGTGGCGCATGTAAAGACGAAGCAAACCAATGCAACGGCCACAGCAGCAGCAGCAGCACCTACAAGCGGAAGTGGCAGCGCAACGAAGAAGGAACAGCAAAACTACTTCGGTTTGGGTGGCTATGCAGAGGCGGGCAACGCAGTTGCTGACACTTTGGGTTAGTATGTCAATGGACAAAAGAACTTAAGTGAGAAAGCTAATTTGAGATTTTATCGCTTTGATGATTTTGCAGGAATTAAAAGCGGAAAGGACAACAACAAAGCTGCATTTGGCAACTCGACATTTTGTACGAACTTTGGCTCAATTAAACCGAATAGTTTTGTGTTGCGCCAGCCGCGCTTGCAATTCGATTCACCGACCGAACGTACAACGACAACGAAAGCTTCTTCAACAATAGCATCTTTAAGTTGCTCAACAACAACACCACTATCTATAACGGTGCCTAAGGCGCTGACGTTGTCAATGGGTCTGAAATCGTCCTTGTCAAGTGGCACAACGAGCGGCGCTGGCACTTTTGGCCTGAATAGTGCCAATAGCATGCTAAGCAAAAGCGTTTTAGGTGAGTAAATGCAATGAGAAATCTTGAAGTGGCTTATTTGTAGCGTTCACTGTAGAAAAATCCGAAACGGCAGAAAAATTTTTATTTTGTAAGACTTTGAACGCCATTTGTTATGAATTTCGTATATATTTATTTAGATACATAAGCCAAATGTAATAGAGATTTCCCCATAAGCCGATAGAGATGTTATGAATTTCGAATTTGTTATTATGGTTGCAAAATTGTTTGCGGAATATGTTTGCAGATTACGGGTTTTACACTTTTTTAATAGAATACCATGAATACAAAACGAACTTGTTACGCATTTATGAAAGGTGGCAGCTCTCTTATAAAATTCTGTCAAATTATGTGTTGTAAATAGGCGAAATGCTCCGATTTAAATATTTCGCTTGACTTATTAAAGTGAATTATAACATTTTTATTAGGTGGCAACTCTATTCAAAAATATTTTCGAAACATAAACCTCTTTGGTTTGTGACACTTTTACTTAACTTAATACTTAATTGAATTTGACTTTTTAACAAGGTGGCAACTCTTTTAAAACAATTTTAGGCATTCAACATGCTTAAACCTTTTTCGTTTGACACCATTTCATTATATTATTAATTAAATTGGGTGTCATTTTTAAACAGGTGGCAACCCTCTTCAAAAATATTTGCTAGTTAAAGTTTTTTTACTTCTGTTGTGTGACAGCATTTCACTTACACAGTTAGGTTTAAATCTAATATTTTAACCAGGTGGCAACCCCCTTGGAAATTATTTTTGAAATATTATTTTCTTAAACGTCTTTCGCTTGACAGCTTCTGCTTCTTAGTATTACATTGAATTTAACTTTTTAAATCGATGGCAACGCTCTTAAGAAAAATCCTATAAATCTGGTTTAAACGTATCGGTAATATTGGTAGCATTCAAGGATTTCCCTTAAATCCCAAAAGTGTAAAATTCTTTTAGAAAAGGTCAACCTTAGAACAATTTCCATAGACTGAATGCAGTTCACTCTTGGCATGGTAACAAGTTCTCCTTCGCCGGTTTGTTTTTGTGTTAAAGTTTCCCTTATAAGATGATTATAATATGCAATACAACTCTCTCTCCCTTTCTCTCTCTGTCGCTGCGCTTCCACCCAAACAAAGGTTCAGCTCCTGCCGCGTGCAGCGTTTGCAACACCCCCACACATAGCAGCAATCTGCAGCAACCACGAAAGTATGGCGTACCTGCCTGCAGCGCTTGTCGCAAATTTATCTCGAAAATCTCGAAAAATAGCTCAAATACAGCACTGAAAAGTCTACAACTGCATTGCAAAGGAGATGGTAAGAACTTCGTGTTATATGCACAAACACAGTTTCCATACTAAACTCATATCTTTTCTACACACAGGCAACTGCACACTCCAGCCGTACACGAAAATCCATATCAAAAATTTCAAAAAAGTCTACAAAGAACGCTGTACATCTTGTTGGCTGAAGAAATGTCTCCAAACGTTACAGGTACCGCCTGCAGATAAACGACGTTTGAGTGCCGCGCTTCCGACATCATTGCTAAAGCAAATTGAGGCGAAACGAGAGCGTGATCCCGAAGAGGAGAGTGGTGAGCTACACGCGACACGCAAAGAGCTGGACTTGGCTGATCTCTCTCCCACTGGACTCTTTGGCACCGCACGTTTCAAGTGGAAGCCTACTTTGGAAGTTGCGAATGAAAGTTTGAAATTGAACCTTAAAACCAATCCGTTGGCAGAAAATAATGCCACGTTCGGCAGTTCGGTTATTCTGAGGCCGCCTATACTGGAAAAGCCGCTCTTCTTGAAAAGCCCAATTGGGGCGGCAGCAGCAGCGCTGCAGCTAAAGGAGAAACACGAAAATCCACAGACCACAAATAACAAGAACGAAGATAAGATGCAGGCGCAGTTGTCATCACCTGAGAGTAGCACACAGCAGAGAGTGACCAAGAGTAAACGCAGGGACAAGCACGACAAGGAGAAGGAACGTGACACAGAGAAGAAACGTCTCTCCAAAGAACGTGGCAGGGAGAAGGAACCTGAGGCAAGCAACGTAAAAGCGACAGCAAACATCAAAATCCAAGCTGCATTAGCAACTGAGAGTACGACAAATGCGCTAGCGATCAACACTAAAGTTGATACTATTGAAATAAATACAAGAGCCGCCAAGGCGGCGTCACTGTCCCCGGCGGCCATAGCAGCCGCAGGTGGTGTCGCTGCAGACGTAGTGAGCAATCTAGGGAGCACAACAACAACCGCTGGCACGTCCGGCGCATCACCGCAACAATCTCCAGTAATAGCTGCAGCAACACCCTCATCAAGCGACTCGCTAAAGCGTCAGCGCATCGACATAAAGGGGCCGCGTGTGAAACATGTCTGCCGCAGCGCATCAATCGTTCTAGGCCAACCGTTGGCCACATTCGGCGAAGAGGAGACAGAAGAGGAGGAAGCACTTGCCATAGCAGAGGATGTTAGGTCTAGCGCAGCAACAACGTCAGTATCGAACAAGCCGGAAGAAATAGTAATTGAAAGTAGCAATGAGGCAGCGCCATCGCTGGCGCCAGCGCCAGAGCAGCCGCAAGCTGTACAGCAAACAAAAGAATCCAAGGCTACGCCGCAAGATAAGAAGGAAGGGGAGATAATCAGTGAAAAAGTTGAACTTGCAGAGAAGCTTACGCAGCCTGCGCAGGCCAAGTGGACTTCTATCACACTTCCGTCTACAAGCATTGAAAAAGCCGCGCCAGCAGCTGCCGAAAGTGTTCTACCAACGGCGCCCAAGGCAGCTAAAATCGTCAACAGTACGCCTGCTGAAAAGAAGGAGGTGACCGCTGCGGTTGCGGCAGATGTCGAACCGGTTGAGAAACCTTCGTTGCCGCTTCAGCCCGCTAAGGCGGTGACGCGCAATTCCAACGCAAGCAACATCAATTTGCAAATTCACCGCGGCACGTCCTCAACTTCCTCCTACGCTACAACATTCGGCAAAAAACCAATACGTCAAATCAGCAGCGATGCAAACACAGCATATCAGCAACAGCAGCAGCAACAACAACAACTGCTGCGACGCAAGGAGCCACAGAAACTAAGAACACTGATCTCAATTGACTTTTGGGAGAACTACGATCCAGCCGAGGTGTGCCAAAGTGGATTTGGCCTCATTGTCACCGAGACGGTGGCACAACGCGCACTCTGCTTCCTCTGCGGCTCAGCAGGCCTAGAGCCTTTGATTTTCTGCGCCTGTTGTTGTGAGCCATATCACCAGTATTGCGTTATGGATGAGTACAATTTAAAGCATTCCTCACTGGACGACACAATGCTCAGCTTCATGGACATTTCCACAATGGGTCACAGCACTGCAGCGCCCACACCAGAACAATTCAACCAAATAACAAATCGTTTGAATTGGCTGTGCCCGCGATGTACTGTGTGTTACACGTGCAATATGTCTTCGGGCTCAAAGGTGAAATGCCAGAAGTGCCAGAAGAACTATCACTCCACTTGTCTGGGTACAAGCAAGCGGCTGCTAGGCGCCGATCGCCCACTTATTTGCGTGAATTGTCTCAAATGCAAGTCTTGCTCTACAACCAAGGTCTCGAAATTCGTCGGCAACTTGCCCATGTGCACACCTTGTTTCAAGCTGCGCAAGCGTGGCAACTACTGTCCGATATGTCAGAAGTGCTACGATGACAACGACTTCGATCTGAAGATGATGGAGTGTGGCAACTGCAATCATTGGGTGCACTCGAAGTGCGAGGGTCTCTCCGACGAACAGTACAACCTGCTGAGCACTTTGCCGGAGTCAATAGAATTCATTTGCAAGAAATGCGCGCGTCGCAATGAAGACTGCAAAATGAAAGCGGTGGAGTGGCGTACTGCAGTGATGGAGGAATTCAAAAGCAGCCTAATGAGCGTGCTCAAACTGTTGAGCAAGTCGCGGCAAGCGTGCGCGCTACTCAAACTCAGCCCACGCAAAAAAGTTCGCTGTGTTTGTGGCAACAGCACTGGGCAGATGAACTGCCGCGCGCAGCCGAAGAGTCTACAATTCAACAACGAGGCTGAGCGCGATGCACTCGCATTGAGCAGTGATGTGGAATCTCAGTGCAGCACCAGCGATGTGTATGAATTCAAGGACAAGCCCAGTGAAGAGAAAATGCCTGACAAGTGCACCTGCATGGTGAAAATGACGAGCTACAGCGCGTACGGCAATGGTGGCGGTCAAGCGGCGAGTAATCTCAGTCTAATGGATATTAAAAAGAAAATCAACAACAACGATTATGTTTCGCTTGCGGAATTCAACTATGACATGATCAATGTGATACAGAGTGTGAACTGTGATGAACTAGTTATTGCATACAATGAAATTTTGAGTGAGCAATTCCCTTGGTTCCAAAACGAGACGAAAGCATGCACTGATGCGCTCGAGGAGGACATGTTCGAGTCATGCTCCTATTCCATGGGCAACTCAATGGACGCACAAGACGATTTTGTAGAGGAAGAGCACAATCGTGCCGTCATCGATCTGCCTGAAGATATTGAGGAGGTGCTTTACTCGCTCAAGCCGCGCGATGACCTGCGCACCTGTCTATTCTGTCGCAAATCCGGCGAAGGTTTGTTCAATGAAGAATCTCGATTGCTGTACTGCGGGCACGATTGCTGGGTGCACACGAATTGTGCTATGTGGTCGGCCGAAGTATTCGAAGAAATCGACGGCTCACTGCAGAACGTGCACAGCGCCATCGCGCGCGGTCGCATGATAAAATGCACAGTGTGTGGCGGTCGCGGGGCCACAGTTGGTTGCAATGTGAAATCTTGCGGTGAACATTATCACTACTCGTGCGCACGCAACATTGCCTGTGCGTTTATGACCGATAAGTCAGTGTACTGCCCGGATCATGCGCGCCAAGCGCTCAGAAGCAACACGGCGCTAACGATTGAGACGAATTTCGAGGTAGCGCGTCCCGTCTACGTGGAGCTGGATCGTAAGCGTAAGAAACTGCTGGAGCCAAGCAAGGTGCAGTTCCACATTGGTTCACTTGAGGTGAAGCAGCTGGGCACTGTGTTTCCACGCTTTTCCGATACCTATGAGGCTATTGTACCGATTAACTTTCTCTGCTCGCGTCTGTACTGGTCGTTCAAAGAACCCTGGAAGGTCGTCGAGTATACTGTGCGTACCACAGTACAGAATAGCTTCTCATCATTGACACTCGATGCGGGCCGCAACTTCACTGTAGACCATAGCAATCCCAATGTTTCGATAGTGCAGCTGGGATTGGCACAAATCTCTTGTTGGCACAGTAGCTTGGCTCGCGGCGAATTGATGGACTACGAGGCAGTTGAACTACGAAACTCTACGCTGACTAAGCTGCTACCGGAGTACTTAATGCACAGCCAAAACTCTTGTTCCACGCCAGATGAAAATACCGAGGAGGAACCACAAACGAATGCGGACTTGTTGCCGCCGGAGATAAAGGAAGCCATTTTTGAAGACCTACCACATGAACTACTCGATGGCATTTCAATGCTGGACATATTCCCCAAATTCATGATCTACGAAGAGATGGGCGGCAATAGTGAAGGCAAGACAGCTGAAATGTATCTGAATGAGCAATCGAAAGATGGCGTGGCTACATCATCTGTCGTAGCTGCTGCGCTGGCCGCCTCTAATGCAGGCAACAGCGGAAATTGCAGCGCCTCTAGCGTGCAGGTATCCGACGAAGATACAGCTAATTCATCGCTTAGTAAGCAGTTAGAACTGAGTAATTCCTGCTCATCAACTAACACGAACTTGGCTATAGGTCATGTGGAGGATGCGCTGCTTTCGTGCTCACGCGTCACCAACTCCCAACTGCGACGCGCCATGAGCAGCACGGAATTGCAACGCAGCAAAGCCGAGATGCTCAAAAAGACATGGACAAAGTTTGAGAGCGTCAGCACGGCGGCTGCAGCGGCGGTAATTAAAAAAAGGAAACTTTCCAAAGGTCCATCGGAGCTACGTATGGCAGAGAGTGTGTTGCACAGCCTGCACCAACATCGCACAAAGAAAGACAATGCCGTGGGCGCTTCACGCCGCCAATCTATCTCGAGTGAGTCGGAAAGTGCCACCACGCTGCGCACAAAAACTTTCACATGGAGCGCGGCGAAGCGCTATATAGAGCCGCACACAGTCGACGAGAAGGACGAATCGAAAATCAAGCTCATGCAAGTGGATGGCGTTGACGACTCAATCACAGAGTACCGTATTATCACCAGCGACGCACAGTTTACAGGCACGGTGAAATGCGAACGTTGTCATTGCACCTACCGCAACTACGAGTCCTTTCAACGTCACCTTGCCACCTGCGAACCACTCTCAACTAGCGAATCCGAGTCTGATGGCACGTCCCGCTCGCCGGGTTCAGCGACAAACGGCAGTCCACCGCTGGGCGGCTTGGATGCCAACATCGATTTGAGTAAGTTGGGCCAGACGCAGCGCACAGCCACACTTACCAGCACCGCCAACAGTTTGCCCTTCCTTCAAGCCTTTTCGCAGGCCATACCACTTGGAAGCATACAAGCCAACTTTAATGGCATACCTATTGCGAATATGTCTAACGGTTTTCAGAGCGTGCAAGGTCTGCAGAACATACAGAACATACAAGGCCTACAAAACATACCAGGCTTACAGAATATACAGCTGCAAGGTTTGCAGACACCGCAGGCACTTGGCGGCGGTTTCTTCATTTCGCAGGCGAATCCAACCACTTCAACCACCGACGAAGTACAGCTGTTGAACTCACTGCAGGGATTGACAGCGAATTTGAATGGCACCTACACGTTGGCGCCCACCGGATTTGGCACCACCACTGTACAAGCAGCTCAACAACAACCACAACTAATTGCAGTCTCTACATCGCCTGATGGGACACAGCAAATCATACAACTACCCTCGGGTGTTACAACGCAGCCAATGGCCAATCAGCAACTATTGCAAGGACTAAACGCTTTCCAGACCCTGCAAGCCACAAATAGTGATAAGAAAATTATATTGCCTGTGGCTACAACCGGCAAGCCTTTGAAAACTGTTGCCACCAAGGCCGCGCAGCAGGCGGCCAAGAATAAGTTGAAAGCTGGCAGTGCCACGGTAAAGCCCATACAATCGAAAATCAACACCGCCACAGTAACAGTGTCACAGCCCTCAATGCATGCTGCACCACAACCGCCACCTACACCGATAACTGTGCTCAATACCGGTGGTAACGGTACACAATTGCTCAACCAGAATTTGTTACAACAAATGCAAGCCGCCGGCTTGGCTACCACCACCACGCAACAGCCACAGCTGCTCTTCCAAACCGCCAACGGCCAGCAGCAGCCGATCGTCATGCAGCAGCTGAGTGCACCTAACGCCACAGTGCCGCAAAATATAATCTCGTTCGTGACCACTGATGGTACACAAACACCACAGGTGCAATACATGACCATACCTACGGCCAATGACTATAAGCCACAAACGCAGGCGACGCCATTTATCACTGCAACTCCAGCGCCGGCAAATCAATATCTACAGGGTGCTTTTCTACAAACCGACGCTAGTGGTAATCTGATGCTCACCACAACGCAAACACCTACCGGCTTGCAAATGCTTTCAGCCACACCTTTGAACATAGCGACCGCGACGCAGGCGCCGCCACAACCGCAAGTAATTGGGACGCTCATTAATCCGCAAACCTTGCAGTTGGGCGGTAATGTTATAGCGACCACAACGGACCCACAACAGCAACAGCAAGTGATAATTGGTGGCGGTGCCACGGGTTTGGAAATGATTGCTGCAGCAAATGCGGGCGCCCCACAAGTCATACTCTCCACACAGCCAATGTACTATGGACTGGAGACGATAGTGCAAAATACAGTGATGTCTTCGCAGCAATTTGTCTCCACAGGCATGCTGAGTCAAAATGCCAGCTTCTCGGCGACCACAACGCAGGTATTCCAGGTAGGTTGTATTATAAGTGAAATGCCTGATTAGCCTTTAACAGGTATACACTAATAGGGTCTCGAAGCAACGTTAAATGCGTAGTGATACCGAATTCGAATCGATAACATTATCGACACCAATATCGATCTTCATATATGTATTATTATATGTTTGGACAAATATGCAGTACATATCGATACCTGAGTGGAAGATCGATCTATCTCGGCAGTCAGTACGAAAACGCCCTATCTCAGAAAACGTTCTTCAACCAATTTCTGCAACAGGGCGTTCTTGAAAAGTTTTTTTTTGTGATAGGGTGTTTTCGAACTGCTGACATAGGTCGATCTTCCATTCAGGTGTCGATATGTAGATATCAGCAACCATATCGTGCTATGCTTAAATGTACCCTTACGTAGATTTATTTTTCTCTAGGCGAGATTTTATTTCGATATCGTCGGTGATACTGCAAAGCGTTCCATGTCAATTATTATCGCTGGTGTTTAAATGATTTGTCATCTTTATCAGATCACTTGTATTAATCGTTCAACTTCATCAGCCAAAGGTAGACGGTTTTGTCACTAATTTATGAGAGTAGAACGATTTGCAAATGCATTCCGGTAAGTGCCAAGGGTACTAAGTTAGACCGTTTTGCAGTATCACCAACAATACGCTAGTTATACCCGAGCGCACTTGTGCACAAGGGTATATTAATTTTGTTCACATAACGGTTGTTTGTAACAGCCAAAACGAATCGAGATAGATATAGACAAATGTATACATAAATGATCAGGATGAAAAAAGAAATTGATTAAGCCATGTGTGTCTGTCCGTCCGTCTGTCCGTCTGTCCGTCCGTCCGTGTACACGATAACTCGAGCAAAAATTGAGATATCTGAACGAAATTTGGTATGTAGGTTTCCCTTAATCCAAGGAAGGTTGGTATTGAAAATGGGCGAAATCGGACTTTAACTACGCCCACTTCCCATATAACGGTAATTTCCAGAAATACGAAAACTGCGATATTTTAGTAACTACTGAAGATAATTCACTCAAAATTGATATTTATAATATGTTTTAGACGAAAAATAAGAATATTATAAATTTTTGAAAAATGGGCGTAGCCACGCCCACTTATGGTTACATGTGTATATCTTGGTAACCGCTGCACCAATTTCTTCCAAACTTGGCACAGTTGTTAGCCTTCGCACAACATACCAAATGGCGGAAATTTTTTAAAATCGCTCGATAACCACGCCTACTTCCCATATAACGGTAATTTTCAGAAATACGAAAACTGCGATATTTTAGTAACTACTGGAGATTATTCACTCAAAATTGATATTTACAATAATTTTTAGACGAAAAATAATAATATTATAAATATTTGGAAAATGGGCGTAGCCACGCCCACTTATGGTAACATGTGTATATCTTGGTAACCACTGCACCAATTTCTTCCAAACTTGGCACAGTTGTTGGCCTTGGCACAGCATAAAAAATTGCCGAAACTTTTTAAAATCGGACAATAACCACGCCCACATCTCATATAACGGTAATTTAGAGAAATACAAAATCTTCGATAAATCAGTAAATATTGAAGCTAATTTATTCAAAATTGATGCTTGCCAAGAAATACGATTATGGTAAAACTTTGGAAAATGGGCGTGGCACCGCCCACTTATGATCTCATATAAGTATATCGGTAACCGTTCTACCAATTTGTACCAAACTCGGTGTGGTTATTGTGCTTGCCACATGTAAGCAAAGCGTTGAAAATTATTGAAAGGTGAAAACACATATATTTAATACTTGCGCCGGGTATTTAATGTTCGGCTTCGCCCGAACTTAGACTTTCTTACTTGTTTTTCTATTACTATTATTATCTCCCGACTTGCAGATTTCATTTTCGACAAAAAACAAATTTTCTCTGCATTCACAATTTATGTATTTTTGACTGTACAGATTTATTTTCCATTAGCGGGTTTTACCCTTCGACTCCCAAGATGTATTTTTCAATTCGTTATGTGATTTTTTTTATTTGCAAGTTTTATTTGACGAATCGCGAGTGTAATTTTCGACTTTTACTTATCCACATTTTGCGATTAATCAATCTGCGCTCTTCGGATAGAAGTGTAAAAATATGGGGTTTCCCATCAAATGTCACTTTGATGGTCTACGCATTCCCTAACCCGGAAAGGCTGTCCTCAATTTTCAATCGCTAAAAGGCTCATTCATAAATATTTTGCAAATGTTTTTTTTTTTTTTTTTAGAATGAAATTCTTCATTTCCTTATCCACTTGCAGGCAAGCAAAATCGAACCCATTGTGGACATACCATCCGGTTATGTAGTGCTTAATAACGTCGATACGACTCCCGCAATAGTGCAACAACAACCAGCAACTTCGCAACAGCCGAATTTCCTAAATGCGTCTACAGTATTACAACAAACCCAACAGCAACCTGTACATGCCAGCGGACTGCAGAATAACGAGCAACAGCCAATTTTCCGACTGCAAACAGTTGATAACAACAGCAGCAACGTTTCAGCTACAGTGACTGCAGCTACAGTTACGCCAACTGTGACGGGATCAAGTTTCCAATTCCAGCCGCAACCACAATCACAGCCTGCGCACCCAACACAGCAGCAACAACAACAACAACAGCAAGTGATCGAGCAACTGCAGCAGCAGCAGCAGCAGCAAAATACCAATGTGCAAATCGTAACGGCGAAAGTGCCACCTGTGGCGCAAGTGAAGCGTAGCAACGCGGTGAAGGCAACACCAGTGGCGGCCGTGACGAAGGTGCAGCCGCAACAGGTGGTGAATAAGGTAATGCCCACTACAGTAGTGCAGCAAACGCAAGCGCCGACGAGGGTAGCAAACAATAAAGCACAACAACAACAGCAGGCGAACGCGCGGAATGCAGCCGCAGCAGCTGCCACAGCGGCGGCGGCGGCGGCAGCGGCAGCGTCAACAGCAGCAACTGTCTCAGTGACAGTCGCTGATGCACAAATCACATTGACGCCCGTCACAAAGACAACGCCGTCGCAACTTGCCACAGGTGCTGCATATACAAAAGTGTCCAACAGCAGCGACACAACAGCCGTCACTATATTTGCTACACCTGTTACTACAACAACCACCACGCAACCTACTAAAGCAAAGACTATGCCTACTGTGGCGGCTACAATGCCGACATCAGCGCGCAAAACAAACCTTATACGGCCAATTAATAAGGCGGAGGTGAAGCCGAAGGTAATAAAGACCGCTGCGACCGCTCCCAAACAGCAGCCAGCGCAGCCTAAAGTTCAGCAACAGCAGACGATACAACAACAAAAACAACCACAGCAGCAGCCAACACCACAAGCGGCACAACAACAAACAGCGAAGATGGCAATGCTAAAGCCGCAGCCGCAACCTGCTCAGGTTGGTTTGCCACAGCCGCAGCAAAGCCAGGTGCAGACACAACAATACGCCAGCGAACAGGCAGCACGCGCTCTAACATCTACGCCTACCCCAGCTGCCATGCCGGCGACAGTGAACAACAACATGGGCGGCAACAAATTAGTGGAGTTCCCACAGCCAAATGCTGTGATGCAGCCCCAGCTTTTCCCCGAGCCGCCAGCAGTCACACAACAACCATACAATAATGCGCCCACGTCTATGTACAATAACGGCGTGGTGCAGGAGGAGCAGCAAGAGCCGCCACCGCCTCACTTGACCAACGGCAACATGTCGCACAGCTATGATTGCAGTCATCAGCAGCAACAGCCGCAGCTACCACCACAGGAAATCGAATTTAATAGCCTCAGCTTGGAGCAAGTGGAGAGCTTTGCACCACCAACACCGCAGCAGTCGCATGAGCAGGCAAGCAATATCTTGCCAGCAGCGCACAACTCCAACAGCAATGGCGCGCTTGCCAGTATTTGTAATAATAACAACGGCAACAGCAATAATCGCTGCCTGCAGTATTCGAATTCGGCCTTCAATGTGCCGACGAATATTGTGAATCCCTTGCAGCAAACTCTCCAGTACAATAACAACAATTCCGCCGGCAACGGTGGCACCACAAATACAACAACAACTATGGGCTCGCGTCCAACGAATCGTGTGCTGCCGATGCAGCAGCGTCAGGAGCATATAGCCACCACAACGCCACCACTGCAGGTGAAGCAACCCACAGCTACCATGCCGAAGTTGGCACCATTGAATACTGTGGGCGCCAAGTGCTTTGATCCCGCCAGCGCGGTGAATGGCGCCAAGATCTACTACGAGGCTGAGGTGAAGAAGGATGAGCAAATGCTGCATATACTGCACTCACCTCAACATCAGCAGCAACAGCAGCAGCAAGTGTTGCAAATGCAGCTACATGAGCCACACCAGGAGACGACTAGCATCGTGAAGTCACTTTCGCCGGAGGGGCACTTCGTCGAGGATACGCTCAAATGCGATCTGGACCTCATGGAAACCGAGACCACGCTGTCGACGACCTGCCAGCAGCTGCAGGAAATGGTGCACAACAATTTGCCGCGCTACACCGGCACCTGTTTGGTGGCGAACGAGAAACCCAAAGACCTCACGCCCACACCAGAGGATGCCTACACGCTTAACGGACACGTGGATGCATTGGGTGGCAACGATATGTGTGATCATGATGGCGACTGTATGGACGATATGGATGACGACGACGAAGACGATGATGAGGATGATGAAGACGATGATGGCTTTAGCTTGAAAATGCCAACGGAGGATGGTGATCATGATATGTCCGACAGTGATGAGCCCGCCGTGAAGGAGAAGATTAGCAAAATACTCGACAATTTGACTAACGAAGATTGTGCTGACTCACTGGCCACGGCCACCACAGCCGAAGCGGCCAATATTGAACTGAGCAATGTTGGTTACCTAAGCGGCATGACGGGCGCCGGCCCCAAAATGGCCGCCGATGCAGTTAAATATCAAAATGGTTTGGCCAACAATTACTCAGGCGTAACAGCGGAAGAGACCGCCGCTGTTGCAGCAGCTGCCTCAGAATACATTACACAAATGGCCGCCAAGATGAGCGCGCAAATGCCGAGTGGCTCGTTGGAGGTGATAGGCACAAACTTCGATTTGCAAAAGCTCGCACCAAAGTTAACGCCGCAAGTAACTTTAGACGCGCATGCGTCACATCCAGCGTCGCAGCAATGCGAAGAGGCACCAGCGCGCACCAGCGTACACGCCGCACGCATGCAGGATCCCTTGCTGGCGACACGTAAACCCACGCCACCACCACCGCCGCCACCGCAACGCGATCCAAAGAAGATCAGCGGCCCACATCTGCTGTACGAGATTCAAAGTGAGGATGGTTTCACCTACAAATCTACCTCAATTGCAGATATTTGGGAGAAAGTTTTCGAGGCAGTGCAGGTCGCGCGGCGCGCGCATGGTTTATCACCGCTGCCCGAGGGGCCGCTCGCCGATATGGCCGGCGTTCAAATGATGGGTCTAAAGACGAACGCGCTCAAGTACTTAATCGAACAGTTGCCTGGTGTGGAGCGTTGCTCCAAATATACGCCGAAGTACCATAAACGCGCAGCGGCAAGCGCGCACGCAGCGGCCACTACAGGGGCTCCATCGTCAGCAACCAATAGCGCTGCAATGGCGAGCGCGCAGCTTGCCGGTGGCAGTGGTATTGACCTAAATGCGACACTGGATTATGCCTCTGATCAGGATGAGCTACAGGAGAATCCGTACGAATCGGCGCGCTGTGAACCGTATGCGTCGCGCTCCGAATACGATATGTTCAGCTGGCTGGCATCAAGGCATCGTAAACAACCGATACAAGTGTTTGTGCAGCCTTCCGACACGGAGTTGATACCGAGGTGAATTTGAGAATATTAGAAGATAAAATATAAAATTGTTTCTTTATTTTAAAATTTTGTTGATTTTGTAGGCGCGGCACTGGCAGCAATCTACCAATGGCCATGAAATATCGCACACTGAAGGAAACTTACAAAGATTATGTGGGCGTTTTCCGCTCACACATCCACGGACGTGGTCTTTACTGCACAAAGGACATTGAAGCTGGTATGTGACGCTGGAGTTTTGTATATATATTGTGTTTTCTTTTTTTTTATCGTAAGTTACTTCCTTATTCTTTAGCAAAGGATAGGCAGAGTTAACTGGCCAGAAAAAGAAAACTAGTTTTCGTTTTACTAAAAAAAAAATATGTGTATTTTTTCTCCCCAAAGGCGAAATGGTGATTGAATACGCAGGCGAACTGATACGTTCCACTTTAACCGATAAGCGTGAACGCAACTACAATAGTCGCGGCATTGGCTGTTATATGTTCAAAATTGACGACAATTTGGTGGTGGATGCTACCATGCGCGGTAATGCGGCACGCTTCATAAATCACTCGTGTGAGGTAAGTAGCGCCAAATATTTTATGGCAACTTTAGATTAACAAATAGGTCTTTGTAGAATTTATATTTTTTTTAGAATTATAGGCCCATATTCCTTTGGTTTATCGTGATAGGCTCTTCCTCTCTTTGATATACCTTTTAAACATTCCTTCACAACTTTGGGATACATCAAATTCTCCGACGATGGGTTGTACCAGACTTCCAAGATATGTTGCAGTTGGTCCCAGCAAATACCATCCTCTCTTTGAGTGTAGTAACTGG